CGTCAACTTGTTAGTTTTTGTCTGTAGATACCATGAAATTCACTTATACTCTAACTGCTTAAAATGTATCACTTACTTCCAAATAACTTCACGATATCTAGTAAGTAACAAAGCAGCAAGTAAACAAAGGATCGGGACCCCTTCCTAGCGTTCACTTTGTAAAGAGATCCCTCAAACTGTTTACTTTCTGCCTTATTACTTAATTTTCAAGCTTTGTTCTTGAAAATCGATAGATCTTCACTTTGTATCCAATGTCATGAACCTCGTATCACTTTACAGTTATTATTTACATCTATATCATCGTTAAGATGGGTTAATGTTTTGTGATCACATGGACGAATATCATTATTTTACTTACTTTATTGTTTAAGTAGAAGAAAACCCAGTCAAAAAACATAGATAAGTTTCTAAATATCGTTAAAATCATATCTACTGTATATTTCATTTCATTTCTTTGTTTAAATAAATGGAAAGAATCAACCCTTTTCCTATTGGTTCGTTCAAGGTCATTTGGTAGTTATTCAAGTACATGAGTTCCATCAGAATTTCAAAAGTTTACTGAAATGTATTTACTTGAAATCTTATCACACCATAGATTAAAAACCGACGCTTTTAACATTCCATTTTTTTCTGGCTAAATTAATTATATTTGTGAAATAATGTTCTATAAGGGTGATTTAACCATTCCACTTTACAAAAGTTAAATCAAATCTACTACGGTTCAATGTTCAACAGTCAGCTAAATTATTCATCCATGAATGTGAAATAACAGAAGAAAATGTTTTTTTTGAATATTTATTTTCTTGCTGTCAAAATGCAAAGTATTTAATGGGTGACTTAACATTATGAAACTTTCTTTTACCTGTAAAGTGAATGTAGAAAATATTGTTCTTACTGATTTAAGTAGTATCTATTGACATTTGGAAACCTCGCCTGGTTAACTAGTTTACTAGTTACTAGCTGGTCCTAAGCCCGGGTAAAGAGGGAAGGTTGGGCATAGGGCTAGCAACCCTACCCCGGAAAACAAATCTAACCGTTAAAGAAACTTCAAAGCACAAACAAAATATAAAAAATAGTAACAAAATTATTCCTGGCTGGAATCGGAGAGGCGAAATGACGCCAGTTGGTGAAAGCCTTCGGGAAGCCAATTGGCCGATGTGTCTTCTCTCGATGAAAGCGAAAGTAAACGTGGGGACATGGAATGTCCGCACGATGTTTGAAGATGTTTGGAGATCTTCTGCACTCAGCATGCGGAACAAGATACGGATTTTCAACACCAACGTCAAGTCAGTGCTCTTGTATGGTTCAGAGACTTGGCGCGTCACGAAAGGGATTTCCAATAAACTACAGACATTCATCAACAACTGCTTACGCTCGCTGCTGAAGATCAGATGGCCAGAAAAAATAAGCAACAAGGAACTCTGGGAACGAACCAACCAAGAACCTATCACCCAACAAATATGCAGGAAGAAGTGGAGATGGATTGGCCATGCACTGAGAAGGCCGACTGAGGACATCACGCGTCAGGCCAGTTGCTCGAGTGGAATCCGCATGGGAAGCGACGAGTTGGACGTCCGTGGTGAGGGTGACATGGAGGAGGTCGTGCGGGGAGGAAATGAGAGCTTGTGGGCTGTCATGGGACCAGGTTCAAAAGATCTCAGAGAACAGAGGTCACTGGAGACGTGCTACTGAAGCCCTATGTTCCACTAGGAACCCAAGGGACTAATAATAAATAATAATAATAATAATAATTGACATTTGAACGTAAAGAGAATGAATACCAAAATTGGTAGGTTAACCTTATACACTTTACTTGAACAGTATCAGAAAAATAAAATGGGTATGAAAAGAATGAAAACTATTCTTATGAAGATGAGAATAACTTGTTTATTTCGGTGTTTGATGTTTTAAGTTAGTCGGGAAGATAGTTTGAGCATAGTTTTCGTAGTTGTTGGCAGTCATCAATAAGGTGAAACTGAGACCATGAGGATATTGGTACACGCTTGATGATTCAGTATTGTGTCAGAGACTGAAATCAGGAACTTAATCACCAAGTTACTCATGTCACTATTTGACATCCCGTAGAAATGGATCAAGTACAGACGTCAATCAGGAGGGAATAACCGATGTAAGTGTCCACTTCTTAGCACTCAATACTGGCTGAACTGTGTGTGTAAAGTTTAAGACGTGACAACCTAATGAAATAATACGACACCGTGGCGAATTGTGTTTTACTATTGTTTGTTTAGAATAAAAAAGTAGAAACGCCTGAACCTAGGTTTCATATTTACTGGCACTCATCAGATATTTATTAAAAGGATCATACAGGCAATTGAACTAATGCTTAAACAGTTACGTAAGATTCTGAGGTGAACTAAATTAGAGGGGATCAACAGAGTCACCAATACAATGGTTCTTTGAGACTGAAGCATCACCAAGCTTCCATGAATGTGAACCGAGCGCAGTGTGAATTTCTTGTCAAAGTCAGGATCAACTTTGACCACAAGAAACGCATTGTGAATAGGGATTCTTGTTTCTATGACAAATCACCCTTCATATTTAAATATTAGGCTACATTTCTTTCAGTCAACTAATAATAAAGTTCAGTAAAATGTTTGCCAGAAGTAACCAACATTTTTAGAGGTGTAGGTTCCTCAATTTTCGGAAATAGGTTACAAAGACTCTGTTCTAGAAGCATCTAACACTGCTTGTGCTGTTGAATTCAGTCGCCAACGATTAACTGTAAATATTATGAAGGCAATGACATAAAAACCACCTCAGTTGTTCTTTGATACTTGTAATTTTTCCGTTACTTTTATTGGAACAAATTCCTTGACTTCTGTTACTAGGTGGGCTTCTGTGTGGATGCCTTGGCACTATCGCTTGAAGTAATGAGTCCCGCTGGAAACAACACTAACTGTGGTACATGTACATCTGTCTGATGAGTTGCAAAGAGGACGAGATGCACTTCCTGTATTCCACTGTTTGCTATCATAATGAATATTCGGCGGTATTAAGGTATCCGTACGGTACCCCATCTGTCAACAGGTGCCGAACACTTCCACAGTGCACTGCAACAGGAAATCATAAGTATCAAGCTATAATGAGCTGTATCTTTCAGCAATAGGTATGCCAAGTGAATGGCACAGACTTTATATAATCCTCCCTAATGTGATACGCTACTGAACAGCGTGAACATTTAGTAACGACACATTGTACTCACCAGTATGTTTTGTTCGATTATAACACTTTTACATCAGAGATCATAATTTCTAACACCAACTGGATGGTTACCAATAAAAACCCTTTTGAGATTACAGTTGAGCAGGTGAGAAACTGTTCAGATCTCTTGGAAATATCAGCTTGGATGGAGCATTCTGTAAGCAAACAACTTACGAGCTGATTACTTTAACATTATTGAACATCATCAGTCAATAAATGTCAATCCTGAGAATCGCATAAAAATCAGTGAGTTAAAAATTAGGATCAGAATTCCAGTGAAACCACTCACCTCCCTCCCTCCCTCCCTCCCTCCCTCCCTCCCTACCTCCCTACCTACCTACCTACCTACCTACCTACCTACCTACCTACCTACCTACCTACCTACCTACCTACCTACCCACCTACCTACCTACCTACCTACCTACCTACCTACCTACCTACCTACCTACCTACCTACCTACCTACCTACCTACCTACCTACCTACCTACCTACCTACCTACCTACCTACCTACCTACCTACCCACCTACCTACCTACCTACCTACCTACCTACCTACCTACCTACCTACCTACCTACCTACCTACCTACCTACCTACCTACCTACCTACCTACCTACCTACCTACCTACCTACCTACCTACCTACCTACCTACCTACCTACCTACCTACCTACCTACCTACCCACCTACCTACCTACCTACCTACCTACAAAAATACATACATACCTACCTTTCAAAAATTAAAGCGTATCCAAATTGGTTGAAAACCACTTAAGATAAATTCTAGATTTCAGAAAAAATAAAGTTATGATATAACCTAGAATTATATTCACATTATGTGAGTGAATATATAAAAAAATGGGGTTATTTATGATGCACACACGCACACAAATGACTGAAATCTCCAGCAAAGGTAAATATCAACGCACACCTTAAGGAGAGTTATTATTTTCTTGTTCCGTTTTTAAGTCATACGCTTTCCAGTTGTTTAAAGGATATGTAGAGCTTTTTTATCTTTGTAAAAGTTCAGTTAGTTTCATTTTTGTGTTTTTTTAAAACCAATGAATGTGATTAGTGAAGCTGAAAAATGACCTTAAACCGTTGGATTTAAAGTTTTTGTTTTACCTTACTTTCATTATTATTATTTGTCCCTTGGGTTCCTAGTGGAACCTAGAGCTTCAGAAGCATGTCTCCATTTCACTCTCTTCTCTGAAATGTTTTGAACAAGGCTGCATGACTACTCACAAGCTCTCATCTATTCCTCACACCATCTCCTCCATATAACCCTCACCTCGGACACCTAACTCGCCGCTTCCCACCTGAGTTCCACTCGAGTGACTGGGCTGGCGGGTGATGTCCTCAGTCGGTCTTCTCAGTGTATGCTCAATCCATCTACACTTCCACTCTCTTCTGCATATTACTTGAACGATAGGTTCTTGGTTGGTTCGCGGCCAGCCAGCCAACCAGCCAGAGTTCCTTGTTGCTTATTGTTATTATTCTGTCCATCTGATCTGAGCTTGCGTAACGAGCCAGTGTAGGCGGCAGTTGTTGATGAATGTCTGTAGTTTGTTGGAAATGCCTGATACGAAACTTGAATCCACTCCCAATGCTAGATTGCTTGCAACCACTCAACATCCAATTATTCAAAGCATTCAGCTAAATTAGATCCCAGAGATAGCTAAATAAACATCAACACATAATCATACTACTTAAACTACTCAAACCACTTAAAAAAATTTAAAAACATGCTTAGATCACCTGTTTATTTCATTTACTCACCTCATTAAATCCAGTAAAGAGTCCAATGTCTCAGGTCTGCGTTCTGAAATTGTTCCTTCGCCTATTTCAGCCTTTATTGAAGCATCACCTGGATGTATACATAAGACTAAACCAATGCCCAAAATAACAGCAAGCATTGTAGTTACAACATAGTAAATTAGTGCATATGAACCAATTTTTCCACTTGATTTAGGATCCAAACCTGCGAGACCTAAAAAGATGTAAATGTATCTTCGATTAAAAGGCATCCTAAAAATATTTTATTCATTTTTCAACAATATTAGAGATTCTTCTTTTATGTTACCATTTGCAAGATTCCTAGTTTGCTAAAAGAATGTCATAACCATCTACGGTTTTATCACAAAACCCCAGTTAAACGTTTTTTTATGAAATTAAACTTTTCAGAATGTATAAACTGATCAACTGGCTGGTGTAATAGGCTCCAGATGAGTTCTAGTAATCAATTTTTTGTTTGCTTTTGTCTAAAGTTAATCGATGTTCAAGTGTTGATGAATAACTGGAGTAAAACGACAAGCCTGTATTGATTTTTGCCATGGACATACATGTTCTACGCCTTCCATATTTGACTATTAAATGTCATGAACTGAAGAGTACGCTTCTGAATGTAGTTTACATAATTCCTAATAGATACTGTTCTCAGAACACGATATACGTTGCCAATTAACCTGCTCTTTGGAGCAGTGGAAATATCCTTCAGATAACTTAGAATAAACTGACTAAATTGACTGAAGGAAAAGACTTTAAAACTTCATGGATGAATTGATCTTCTAAGCCATGCCTATCTATGATCTATAGGATAATACCATCTATGAAGTTATTGAATACAATTCAGTTAAAAGATGCATTAAATTTTTAATGTTCGCTTCCCTCCGAATTTATTCTCTCTTCACTTATTTCACCAAGATGTAGCGTACAAGTAGTCAAAGCGAAGCTCCTGAACCACTGAAGTTGTACGTTGATACAATGACATAATAAATGTTCACCAGATAGTAAATGAAAAAGCTGTCCACTCTTGATTGTCCTTTTTAGTATCACGCCGTAGTTATAAGACAGAGAAGGCCAATTGGTGACGTAACGCGCCAGGTCAGGCCCTCGAGTGGAAACCAAAGGGGAAACGATCAGTTGGACGTCCCAGGTGAGGGTGACATGTAGGAGATCATGTGAGGAAGAAAATAAAGCTTGTGAACAGTCGTAGCGCCAGGTTGAAAAGACTGCAGAGAAGAGAGTGCAATGGAGATGTGCTACTGAAGCCATATGTTCCACTGGGAACCCAAGGGAAAAATAGTAATGTGGTTATATGTGAAAAGCTACAATTTAGAAATATTCTTTATCAACTAATAAACTTCAAGAGGAATGTAGTTGATCTCTTCGTTTCCATTCAATAGTTAATAAGAGTTTTGAAAGAATCCATGATCAAATCTAAAAGACCCAACTTTTAAATTCACCATAATACAACTATACACGTTCCTGAGATTTAACCAATTAGTGATACATTATGACAGACATTCAAAGTTGAAGATTCCAAACTGACTCTTCAACAGCGCAAAAACTATGTGCTGCTTGATGGAATTTGAAAGAACACTTTCATCATCATCTAGAAATTGGATCAACAGTCACAATCCATTTTTATTAAAATTCTCTTCCAGTCATTACTGTATTCAACGGAGATCAGTCTAAGAAACTGAAGTTAGGTAACCGATTCTCAGCGCAGCATATTATAATGAGCGGTTACAGAGCGAAATGTTTAAATTTATCACTGAGGTAAATATAAATTATTACATGCCTAATATCATTCGGTTTTTGCACCGTTTTTTTCTCATAGCAATAATGATACTAAGACTGATGGACTTATTTTCACTCTTGTTATCCTGTGTTGTTATACTTTTCAGATAGATTCGACAGAAGATGAAGGAAAGAGCAGAAGAGACAGAAGAAATGGAGGGAAAGAAGAAGGTAGAGAGGGAAAGATGGAAAAGTCTGTTAGCGGTACACGTTCTTCACTTTCCTTTTCTTCTCTACTGTACAATAAAATAGATGTCTGACAGAATTCACAAGAATCTAATATTTATTATATCACAATGTATATTGTTACAATTTTTTTTAGACTTATTCAATTTCTGTGGGAAAACAACTTTTCAATTGGATTTTAGCGTAAAATTACACACCGATATTGTTCTCTATGTATGAATGTGTCTGTGTGTATTATTCAACAAAATTAACTTACTCCTGGAAACCTGAGTTACCTTAGAGTTCAAACAGATAACTTTTAGCTTATCAAGCATACAATTCACAAATGAAACCTTTAAGATAAAGCAATAAGTAGAAGTGAATTTCCTTTTTCTTATGCGAATCAGAGATACATAACAGTTTATCATTCTACACACAACTTCCTTTCTAAATCAATCTCAATAAGTTAGAGTAGTAGTACGAGTACGCTGATGCCAACTTACAGCCAAATGGTCAAATAAAGACGAAATATCAGATTCATAGAAGCTGTAGACATGTTTTACTGACAAGTGCCAACAAGTCTGAAACCAAAGTAGAGTAGCACTTCCCTCCAACCAAGACACATGTTACTTATTAAACTGCTTTCTTAAGTTTTTTTCAATAATCATTGCCTTGTTCTACAGACCAATGACAGTGTCGATGAATTGTAAACCACCGTCATTGTGTCCTCGATCAGTCCAGTTAAACTTGATGAATTCATGCTGTAAAACGTTTCAGTAATGTTTACAACAGGTCAATAATCTAATTCTTGTTCTCATTTGTGTTAAACTGAGAATTCCATCAGTGAAATTAAATCTCATCTTAAATATGAGCTTGGAACAGCTAGACAGCAGACAATGTTTATTGACATCATTCGAATTCTTCCACTATCAAATTATCATTGAAGTTACTGTTTATCGATATGCGTGTAATTCTGTGTCGTTTTACTACATCGAATTGTTCTACCTCGACTTCAAGGTACGAGGTTCGAGTCTCAGTAGAAGCAACATAACTCACTGGGGTGAAGGTGCATCCAGCTGACGAGTCTTGAATAAGACGAAACGCGCGTCCTGGATTCTTCTGTTAACCACAACCAAGTGAATTATCACAATTAATATTCAAGCTATATCAAAGCATTCGCATACGAGCCCACATGCCAATAGAGGTCCAACAATTTGATCCAATAAAACAGCAGAGAATTACAAGCACGTCAATTATTATAACTATTATTATTGGTTGTCGCTTGAGTTCCTAGTGGAACATACGGCGTAACTAGCATGTCACCGCTCCAATTTCTTCTCTCCAGTCTTCTCTTTTAACCTGACTCCATGACTTCCCACGAGCTTTCATTTCTTCCTCACACAATCTCCTTCATGTCACCCTCACCTCCGACGACCAACTCGCTGTTTCCCATATCGGTTCCACTCGAGCGCCTCAACTGACTCGTGATATACCCAAACTGTCTTCTCAGTCTATTTCAAATCAAATCTAATCCATATCCATTTCCACTTTCTTCTTCTGCATAATTGTTGGGCGATGGGTTCTTGGTTGGTTGGTTTGTTGCCAGCCAGCCAGCCAGCCAGAGTTCCTTCTTGCTTATTCTTATTATTCTCGCCATCTGATCTGATCTCTAATGTCAGTATTGAGTGAGCGTAGGTGACAGCTGTTGTTGTGATGTGTCTTTAGTTTGTTGGAAATGCTTTTCGTAACGCGCCGTCAAGTCTGTGAACCAGCATATAGAAGCACTGACTGACCTGACTGACTTAGTGTCGAAAATTCGGATATTGTTCACGCTTTACGCTGAGTGCAGCAGGCAAACCAGTGAATAGTAATAACTAATACGTGTTGTACAAGATGTGGTTATCATGTTTCAATGACCTAGTGCACGATACTTTGGTTTTTGAAGCTATATGTGCGAGGTTCAATTCGCAGTGGGAATAACATCATTCTCTTGGGTGCAGGTACATCTAACTGATGAGTCCCAAATAGGACGAATTCCTTTGCTAGCCACAACCAACTGAACTATCGTTTAAATGTTATTTCTAACTTGATTAAATTACTTCATTATGCCATAGGACCATTTATTTATTACCTGTATAATTGTCACTCCATATCAAAGTGAAGATTATAGATAACCAATTCTTTCTCCTTACTAATTGAAAATATTATTATTATCATTATTATTATTACATCTATGGGAATTTTGACAGATTCATACAGATTTATTGTTGGGTTTTTTTATCTCTCCTTGGAATGAATGGTTAGAAAGGAATGAAGTACTCAGAGTAGGTGGCGTGGTGTTTCGAAAGCCGTCATTGTACAATGTTTCCTTATCTAATTAAGCATTACACACAAAATGTAACTTCAAATCGACAAATATATATTCAATTTACTATCCTCTTTCTTTTTCTACTCATTGTTTAATCCAAAGAGATCATTCGTAGAATTGTAGAGTTTGTATTTAGTGTTTCAGAAAGACTTTTAGAATTCATGTCAGACTTCTTGTCTTACTAACTATTGAACAATGATGATGAATGTTACAAATACACAAGACGTATGTAAAGTTTGGTTGGAGGTGACTGACCAGAAAGAAAACCTCGAGCTTAGTTTTCGTGCATGTTGGCATTTGTCAGCTAACACTAATGGGTAACCGGTGAGGTATGGGAATCTAATATACTGAATTAATTCTGTCAGACATTTTTTAAAATATGACCATCAATTTAAGCGTTACAATAGTCTGGTCCGCTGAATTTTGTTGTTAGCCTCTCAATATGTGATAATTCGGTAGTCCTGTTGCCTATTTTTACTAACTTGTAGGACTACTACTGTAGTTATTTGTATTTCTGTAGTTCATCTCTCATTAATTTCTAATCTTTACGATGATGTAGAGGATGACGACTGCAACCAATCTGTTAGTTGGCTGAAGGGAATCAGAAAGAAGACTTGAGCATAGGTTCTGTGCTTGTTGGTGTACTCATGAATCATATCAGGGTATCAACATCAACCTCAAGTAATTTAGTGTTACATCATTGTGTATCTACAAGTTCAACCAAGTTATCTGATTAAGTATTGTGTGTTCAAGCACAAGGATATACACAAAGCGACATGGATTTCACCAGATGGACTCAGTACACTACAAATCAGATCGACTACATCTCAGTGTGAAGAAAGTGGAGAGGCAGCTTACTTGAAAAAGGTCAAGAA